ATCGGGCGAGCGGGGGTGCTCATTGCATGACCTTCCCCTCTCGTACCCAAGTTCCCGAGCTGAGGCAACTTTGGTGATGACGGACACGTGGCCTTAGGCATGAGTCAAGGTTTCCTAAATTTCTCAAAATAAAACATTTAGGTGGCGACTCTGTATCTGGCAAAGCAGTCCATGTTTGGCACTTCTTTATTAAAATCAGTTTTCCAAAACGATTTGCCGGATTTAGACTCTTTGGTGATTTATCAATCTTGCATTGCACTTTGAAAGATTAGATTCAGAACCGTGACTTGAGTCTGAACTGTAATAGCTAATGAACAAAACGATTTCGCGCCTTCATGCGTGGAGCCGGGACGTTTGGGCACGTCTACATAACCCTTTGGAATGAAGAAGGAGAGCTGCATTTATAGGCTTTTGAGGAAAAGAAAATATCTGAGATATTTGCAGAGGAAGCCCAATGCAAAATATCTAAGATATTTGTGTAAAATTAGGAGAAAATGCCGAATTTCCTAAAATTGCTCTGTTTTCTGGAGAAATCATCCGGCCAGACAAAAAATCATCCGACCAAACAAAAAAATTGTCTGACTAGACAAAAATGTGTTTGGCCAAACAAAAAATCATTTGATCAGACAATTTTTTAGAAAGGGAAAACATGATTTTTTCCCAAAAAAATTCTCATTCTTTCCACTCATTTCCACTTTGTTCTTGCTCAATTTACTAAGAAAATATAACACGTGAATTTTAAAAATGCAAGTCTCAGACCTTGTAGAAATGTTTGAATTCATATGGAAAAAAAAAAAAACATTTTGAAAAAGATTTAAAAAGGGTCTAAAATAGTTTGGCCAAAACGGGTGTAGAGTTGGGATTAAAGCTTGAACCTAGCTCTCTTGGTGAAGAATTCGTAAGATAGCATATTCTAACTTTCATCATTGGGTGTTCAGTAAACAGCACTCAAGTCTTAAGGCCGATCAAAATGGGATGTCTAGAGTAGCACACTTAAATAATTAATTATAGCACATTCAAGCTCTCCACTGTAAAAGTGTCATGAAATTATCAGGCGAATCTCAAAAATGCACGTTGCTAAATGAACCTAAATAACTTATTATATCATAACACCATACCATTTTACACAAAATTTAACTGACACCCAAAAACATAATCATAGTTCTGGTGATGAGGGTAGGTGTAAGGGAAAAGGAGAGGGTAGAAATGATGATGGCAATGACAATGTGTGTAGTGGAAGAGGAATAACTGTAACAATCCCGACCTACGATTAGCTTATAATCCTTGATTAAGAATGCTTAATAAGTAATTAAGATGAAATCCTAGGTAAATTGTATGTGCCATGTGTTAAGAATGCTTAACAAGTAATTAAGATGAAATCCAAAGTAAATTGCATGTGCCATGTGTTATTTGTGTTTATATCTGTTTGTTGTAGAAATATCTGTCAGTAATTTTGCTTGAATCTGTGAATTGAAGGCCTTATCGGCATCTAAACACGAAATTGACTACGTTTATGTGTTATCTAGAATTTTTAGATTTTTCTAGTAAGTTTAATTAGAATTTGATTCGGAATCAAATAATTAGAATAAAATAATGCCAATTGATTAGTCTTAAGCCAAGCTTAATTCAACCCCACTACTCAAGCCTATATATAGCATTTCGGGCTTAGACCAGACCAATTATATGTTTGGTATAACGATTCTAGTTTAGGACCCGACCCATTTTGTATTTTGGACTCGAGTTACATGGTTCTGTATTGTTGTTCTTGTATTAGTCCCCTTTTCCCCCTTGAGTTTGGCTATTGGATTGTATTGGTTGCATTTGGAACAGGTTGGTAGGTTAGTTCCCAAACTTTTGTTACCCAGAATTTTACTCCTCCGCTCAAGCGTCACTTTTTGCGCTCGAGCGGGCTTTGCGAACTCTCAATACTTTTGCAGGCCTGTAAAACTGCTGGGAGAGTGTATTCTACGCTCGAGCGGTCATGCGCTCGAGCGATGGTCATCTGTCTACAAAACTATTGGAAGTGTGTATTCTACGCACGAGCATCACTTCTTGCCCTTGAGTGGTAATCATTTTTGTGTTTGGACACTCGAGCGTTACTTCTTGCGCTCGAGCAGACTGCGCGTATATCAGTCTGTAACAATCACTTTTTACATCACTTTTTCATATCACTCTCTCTCTAAACATTTCCAAACCCTATTTTCTTTCACTCTCTTTCTAAAACTCACCTATTTCCTTCAAATACACCTAGATCGGTCAATCTTTTCACCTGTATGTCTTTGCTAAAAAGAAAGAGCTTAGCGAGGGTTTCGTTCTAACTGGAGCAAAGTTGGTTTTTGGCGCCTTTGGGTTTTCTTCTCTCTCTCTCACTCGTGCTTGAGGTAGGGATACTTTTCACACTTTTTATGAGTTTTAACTTAGTTATTTGATGTTTTTAAACTACATTGCGGATTTGGAAGGTTTGGAACAAATCTAGGGTTTTGATAGAAAAAATTAAATTAAAGAGGGGTTTTTCGAATAATCTATTGGGAATGGTTTTGATATTGAAAATAAGGAGGAGTTGGGTGGAAATGGTTGATTTTGAACACTTGGGTTCGATTTTGCAAAGAGTAAGAATTTTGCCCTAAATGTCTCAAATATTTATCTTGTATAAATAAATGAAATTGATGTTGGGTCAATGAAATTGAATTGGTATTGATGAGGATGGTAGAGTTGGACATATATTATTACTCACCTTTCGAGATTTGGAAAGTTTTCCTTTATGGAATATAAACTATTTGTTTAGAAATATCTGTTTTGGGCTATCGGTGGAGGATAGCTATGAATGTTGTAGAATTTGCATGTGAATTAGGAAAATTGAAACTATTTTTTTCATTCATGTGCATTGAACATTATTTCACACTTATACATTGAAAATGTTATTGTTTTGAGAAAAAAAGGGTGAATTCGAAAAACATGGATTGTGTTGTTGAACTAAGTTGGCATGAGTGTCCTAGGTGAAAGTCCCGAAAACCGCGCGTATACATGAGTGTCGATCTCGCAAACAAATTTTTTGTGAAATGGAAATAGTAGTGCTTGTATAGCCTAGGTTTACATGGGCCAGCTTATAGTTTCCTCTAGACGAAATATTTTGAAATTCTCAAAGTGTGAATCACCACCCTATTTTCTATTGAAATGAAAATGAATTGTGAATCAAGGTATTAACTTGGCATTGCATAGTTTTGAAAAATGATATAAATATGTTTTGGCAAGAACATGGCATATGCACTCTCCTTATATCTTTGTTAAAATTCATACATTGTGTTGGATTATTTCTACTGGGCTTTGGCTTACCCTATGTAGGAAAAACATTTCAAGTGCTGATGACATGCCTCTGCCAAGGTAGTAGCTTGGGAGGACTTGGAGCAAAGGCTTCTTTTGTTGTATTCATTTTTGTATAGCTAAGGGATTTAAATGTATTGGACCTAAAGTCCACTTTTGTTGTAACCAAGAACTAGCTTGGAAAGTTGTAAGCCTTTAGGGCATTTCTTATCTATTTAACTCCCATTCCTTTCTTATATTTGTAACATATGTTGTGGATGGGTTATGGTAATTATTTCGGGGCGTGACATTTTGGATCCGGGTTTCGTTGTGTTTTTTGTAGTTATTCATGTCTTGTTTCCCTTGTACCTCTTTGAGTTTGGCTATTGGGTTGTGTTGATTGCGTTTAGAACAAGTTAGTAGCTTGTTTTTCAAACTTTTGTTGTCCAGAATTTTGTTCCTACGCTTGAGCGTCACTTCTTGTGCTCAAGCGATCTTTGTGAACTCTCAGTACTTTTGCAGGTCTGCAAAACTACTGAGAAGTGGTATTCTATGCTCTAGCAGTCTTGGCTCGAGCGACCTTTAATGCACTTGAGCATTGGTCTTCTGTCTGTAAAACTACTGGGAATTTGTATTTCATGCTTGAGTGATAACTTCTTGCACTCGAGCGATCATATCTTTTGTGTTTGTACGCTCGAGCGTCACTTCTTGTGCTCGAACAGTTTGTGCGTATATCAAATCATAGAACCCCCTTTTTGGGTCACTTTTTCATTTCACTCTCTCTCTCTAAAAATTCCAAAAACCCTAGATCTAGACACACTCCCTGTAAAACACATCTTTTTACAAAAACACTAAGATCTAGTGATTTCACCACAACAAAAAAAAAAAGGTTTTCATGGCATGCATTGCAGGCCGTAAAAACCCTTCTACGATGTGCAACTTAACGTCATATTATGACCAGTCAAGAAAAGTCATTCACTTTCAACGACATGCCATAGTACGCCATAAAAAATATTTAACAGCGGATCTTGTATATCATGTTTGACTTTTCTACGACTACTTTTGTACGCCGATAATTAAAGGAACAAACCACGATGTTCATTACTAGTCGTTGAATCTTTAATACAACGACCTATTTTGCCTGCCGTAGATAGCCCAAGTTTCACAGCATTTTTTGCATGCCGTAGGATATGTATATATTTAAAAAAAAAAAAAAATTAGCAGTTTTTATTTCACCTATAGAACAAGAAAATATAGCAAACAAGGTTTACAAACATATATACATATATATATATATATATGTAAAAATATCAATCAACTACCAAAATATTATTTCAAACATCCAAAAAAAAAAAACTATCTATAACTTTTGAACATCCAAAAACTATCTATTCATTCCAAACCATTCAAAAACTATGTTTCTAAACATCAAAAACTATCCTTAAGTTCAAAACTGTCCAAAATGTTCAAAATGATCCCAAAAAAAAAAAAAATCCTTAAGTTAAACCATTCAAAAACTATCCTTAAGTTCTAAACCACCCCAAGTATGATTGTATTTTGGGATGATCGCAACAGCATCAAGCAGTGCATCTAGACCACCTTCCTCCACAATCTTTTCTTGATTGATATCTGAAAGGAAAAAAAAAGAAAAGAAAAGAAAAGAAAAAGAAAAAGAAAAAGAAAAAGAAAATAAGGGAGGGGGGGGGGGAAGAAGATAATGAGATTTTCATATATCGAATGTTTACCTTGAGAAGAAAATGAGTATAGCAGTAACAAGTTCTTATATAACCTTTCAATTTAATTGGGGAATCAAAGTGTTTCAAACAGAGCCTTAATGACAAGTAAAAAAGTATAGATTATCTTATGCCCAAACAATATTTTGACGTGTTGACTACTTAATATTTTACATCATACCACATGGCAACAGAGAAAGGATAGAAAATCTTTCTTGTGTACAAGAAAGATAAAGGCGCCAACGTTATGAAATAGGAATGAGGCTAGAATGAATAGCTGCTGAGTTTTGTAAAGTGTATATTCATCTTTGTTTTTGTTATTCACATTTCTCAAGGCATTGAATATATCTTAGTTTTAGTTAAGAGCAGAAGAATCCAGATTGTAGTAAGTAAGCTCTGATTGGTTAGCTGCTCAAATCACAATAATATCACAAATAAAGCCCCGTAAAGAAGTAAAACCGAATTTTACTGATTTTGAAGTTTTCAAAGAAGAATGAGCACTGGTTTGTGTTACTAAAAATCAAAATTCATTTCAGACGAAATTTTAAATAACTTTTTAACAGTTCAGAATTTGTATAATTTTTTGTACTTTATAGTTAAATATGTTGTGTACATGCTTTTTTTCATATTTCATTTGAATCGTAACAAAACAATTTGTAAATTGTGCAGAACTACATAGTGAGCATGAAGTCACTCACTCACACATACATGCATGCAACAAGAAAATTTAGGAGACACAGAAACAACTCAAAAACAGTAATATGATATGTACCTTCAACAGCAAGATTAGCCACTACCTTTACAACATGGACTTGGACATTGATATCTCTAGATGTTAACAATTGTAATATTTTTTCAAGCCCAGGAGTGGAAAATCTCGTAAGTTATCTAAAACGGAGGAAGTGTTGAACTTTATATGGTCCAAAAAAATTTCGCGGAGAGGCTTAGAATAGGTGCAAATGTAACCTTTGCCATTATTTGAACAAACAGTTATTTTACATGTGCACAATGTCTTACATGCCATACCAAAAACTTGGGTTCAAGTGTTCCTAGCAGCTTGGTCACCTAAAATTAATGCCTAACTATTCCATGTGATGAATAGAGATAAAAAAAAAACAATAATAATTAAAATTAAGCTAACAGTTAAAAATCCACAGTGCAAAGGTCCCGGTATACATGGTATTTTTCCAAGAATAACAAAGTACTAGGAGGAAGGCATATGTTCAAACGAAATATAAGTGATGTTGAAACAACAAACCCATTGACTAAAAGAACATGACAAGTGGGCATCAAGCTTTTTCATTATTCAATAAAATACCTTTTCCAGCTTCCCTGCCACTAAATTGGGAGGATACTATGAGATTGGTTGTTTTTTGCATTTTTTAAAGATGAAGCCATAAATTTGAAACTATGTGAACAGACCAATTGAGAACACGAACCTGAAAATTTTTGCTAAAGATTTTTATCTTTGATGTACTTTCTCTGACAACATATTCTCCATGCCAAAGCTGTATATATGATGTATTCACCATCTCCACAAACAACAACAAACCTCCCATTGGGATTATGCCTTTGATTCTGGGAAAAAAGGACAAAAAAAAAAAAGGCAAGAACTAATAGTGAGTACACACACATAAGAACAGATCAGGATGCCACTGATGTGGATCACAGTTAGCTTTTATTGTTAATAGTTTAAAATAAATAAAAAAAAGATACATGTTAACAATGGGAGAAAGTGCGTTAGTTATCATATGACTTATTCATACTGTTAGCTAATCTCTTGTCAAAATTACCTTGGTCACAACAGCAATAATAGCACCATTATAAAGAAGTATACAAGATTTAAATCAAAGGCACCAAAATAAAAAGAATGCCAACTGATACAACAAGATCAAGTGCTGGTCCTGTCCATCCCTAATCCTGGGAGGGAGGTGAGCATTGGGTACAAACCTAACTTCCAACTTGTACTTGCACAGAGTAGCTGCCCTCAAATCTAAGTTTTCAAGCTTCACAATGACTGCCAAAAGTTCTACGTTTCTCATTCATGATTAAAGTGATTTCATATGGATCCATTTTCCACCACTTTCAAAACTGTATTCTGTTCTCCCAAATTTTAAAATTTTAAAAAAATTAATAGTAAAAAAAGCATACAAGAAACTGTTTGGAAAAGAAGTAAAAAAACAAAATTGGTTTTGAGAAAATTTCTTGAAAATAGAAAGAAGAGAGAGACTTACTCACAAGCTTGCGCTCTATTACCAATCGGCTAAAATTATCACATTTATTCACTCATTTATTTCTACAACAATGCTTGGTAACTCGAATTTTCATGACCCGAATGGCTCGAATGTATCAAAACGGTGTCGTTTTACTCCCAAAACGACATCATTTTGAGACATTCGAGCTATTTGGGCCACATAAATTTGAGCTACCAAGAATTTTTCTTATTTCTAATGAAATTTTTTTTAGATGAAACATTAAAAAAAAAAATTGAAAAAGTAAAACAAAAAATTCAAAACAAGGGCACTAAAAACAAAAACAAAAAAATCTACCTTTTCAGTGTTCATTAGTAGGTCTTCAATAAACTTCTAATTTTTTTAAAGCATCTTTTCACATTTGAACCTAAAAGAGTTAATTCTTTTGTAAAAATTTGTGACACATCACTAAAGACCAAACATCAAAATCAAAATATTAAAGACCACACAAAAAATACCAACAAAAAACTACTAAAAAAAGAAATTTCTAAACAACACTCAAGCAAACTTGAAATAGCAGAGTAATTTTGAGATCACAATAAAAAACCCCTAGCCTGATTTGGGTATTCTCTCAATGAGATCTCATTTGGATGAGATCTTCCTGCTGCTGAGACCAGTTCAAAAATCCTTTCCTAATTAAATAGGAAAACAAGCAAACAAAAATAAACTATATACAAAAATAATGCGACAACCAATTTTGAAATAATAAGCCAGTTTAATTAATCTTCTTCTAACTTGAAATGAATGGGCACACAACTATCACACTATACAAATTTCATACACTTCTTTTTTTTTTGTGTGTGTGTGTAAATTATTACTCATTGATAATATGCTATAAATAGTTTGGCAATATTTTCAAAGAACTTAAATGTCATAAATGGTTTTGCAAATTGAACTAGACTCAAAAGGCCAAAAGCAGGCAAACTAGTCAGTTGATGAAAGACATAAAAGACATAAGCAATGAACGCAACATTATTTTTGAGGTGATTATAAACATATAACTGAAAGCAGCAACATGACAATAGTAGTGGTCACAAAGGGTTCTAGAATTGAGAGTTCAGTTCACTCAAAGATCACACATTTAGACCTTCGTAGTAATCATAGTACAATAATAATTTTTTAACAGATAAAAAAAAACGAGTACAAATTAGGCTAAAAATTGTAACATACAATCAACTAGAGTAAAAAAATCAGAAAAATAGTCTGTTTGGCTAGTCAGAAAAGAGAATCAAAGTAAGAGAAAGCTCACCTCACTTGGGGCATTTATCAAACACGTTGTCTTCAGCAACCAAGCACCATATATGCACATGAAATTGGACACATCAATTACAGTTTTGGGGCAAGAGCAATATCAATTCTAACCAACTTAATCAAACATATATGAGTGTGTATACATATATATGTGCAAAATTCTCAAATGCAACAAATATTAATCAAATCAAATAGATGAAATAGATCACTCTAGAAAATAGAACACTAAATAGATGAAATTGATAGTTTAAAAGGATAAAAATGATCAACTAAACTCTAGAAAAAACATTAATCAAATCAAATTTTGCTTCAGAAAACAAAAAATTGCTTTTAAAAATGACAATAAGCAAGGTTAGAACTCACAGTTTTGATAGTATTCTCCAAGTTCTGAGCAACACCATGAGCCTAGAAAATCAACATGAAGGCTCTTGGTTAGGGTTTCAAAATTCGAGTGTTCAGCAACGAGTGGTGCCTCTTCGTCCATGGCTTCTCAGAACTCTCAATTGGGTCGATTTGCTAAAAAGAGATGTATAAACCCTAGAAATTGGTGGTATGGTGGGGCATATGAGAGAGAGTATGAGAGTGGGGTGAAGAAAGAGAGAGCACCATTTGAAACCCTTACCGTTCAAAGCCTCTCTTCTCCATCTCTTCTCGGTTTTCCTCTTTGAGCAATATTCTATGTTCAGCCATTAGAAGCCAATGAGTGAATGTTTTGAACAATATTCGGTGCTTAGACCCTTCTCTTTCGAATAATGCTTGGCACCCCTTTTGGGGTCACCCCACCCCCTTTTGTCACGTGGCGGGTGGTGATTGGAGGAGCAGGAAAAAAAAGAAAAAGAAAATGTAACCAATGAGAGAGAAAGGGGGTCAAAGGGGTGGGAGGAAAAGGGGATGAATCATTGTTGCATTTTTTTATTTTGCTTTGGAGAATGGATGAGCGTCTTCTTTGACATGGCTTGCAAAATCTTCTCTCACGGTTCAACAATCGAATCGAACAATCATTTTTTTTTTAATAGATTTTTTTTTTGGTGTTTTGGCGCTAGAGTTTTTCATTTTGGCGCTTATTTTTTTTTTTGTTCATAGCATTCACGACATGTATTGTGCATCGTAAAAAGGTAATACTTTTAATGATAGGCACTGTGTGCATTGTAAAAAGTGCAATACTTTTAACGTTGCATGCGCTCTAAAAAGTGTGATACATTTCACGGTTGGCTTATGTGTGTCGTGTATAGTTGATGTATTAGCGGTATATCATATGCATGTCATAGAAAGTTTTATTCTTTACGGCAAACATTGCAAGTTGTACAAAAATTGTCTTTACTACCATTCATGGCCTACGTAATAGATATGTCGTGGTTGAAAATTATTTACGATGTGTAGAAAAAGCAAGTCGTAAAAGTGAGAGACCATGGCATGCATTTATTGTATGTCGTTGACGTGGTGCCGTGAAAACCTAGTTTTGTTGTAGTGAATTTCTTCACCCTACTCCCTTTGTTAAAATGGTAGAACGCTTTGTGGGCTCTCTTTTCATTTGAACAAAAATGGATTTTGGCTTCTTTGAGGTTTCTCCACTCTCTCCTTGGTCTTCTCATTTCGAGGTAGGGATTCTTCACAATCTTGTATGAGTTTTACCTTAGTTATTTGCTATTTCAAAAGATTATAGTTGTTTGGGTTTTTAGGTAAAAACCTAGGGTTTGAAATCAAAATGAAAAAAGGAAGGGTTTTCAAATGGTTTCTTGGAAAAGCTTGTGGGTATGAAGGTAGGGTTGATAGATGTTGAAATAAGGTATTTCCTACATTCAAATTGATTTTCAAATAGAAAGGGATTTTTCCCTAAAATGTGAATATCGAGATTGCAAAGAGGAAATGAAATTGATGTTGAGAATTCTGAATTATAAAATTGAAATAATGTTGATGATGATGGCGGAGTTGGATATATATTATCACTCTCATCTTGAGATTTTGGAAAAGTGTATCTTTTAATGAAATTTATTTATCTGTTTAGAGATATCTGTTTTGGACTATCAGTGAAGGATAACTGTATGAGAATTAAGTGAACTAAAACTAATTTCTCATCCATGTGCAGTGAACATTGTTGCTTATTTAATACATTGAAAATGTATATGATTTTGAGAAAAATGGGTGAACGTTGGAAAGAGGTGTGTATCACCAAATCAAGTTAGCCTGCGTGTACAGGGTGAAAGTCCTAAAAAATGCACGTATACATGGGTGCTAGTTCCTGCGGATGAAATATCCATAAAATGGTAATAGTAGTGCTTGTATAGGCTACGTTTACATGGGTGTCGTTTAACAGTTTCCTGTGGATGAAATATCCGTGAAAGGTTGTATTGGTTTGAGATTTTCCCTTATTTTCTATTGTAAATGACATGATTTTGAGAATTGTAATACAAACATGGCATGGCATGGTTTTTGGAAAGAAATGACAAACATTTTGCGTGGGCATTGCATATGCATTCACCTGATGGCTTTGTTAAGATTTATACATTGTGTTGTAGTATTTCTTCTGGGTTTTGGCTCACCCTACGTGAGAAAACCATTTTCAGGTGCTAGTGATATGCCTCTACTAAGAACTTAGCTAGGGAGGATTGTAGAGCTGAAGGCTCATTGTTGTTATCTTTTATTTAAATTTTGTACAAGCCTAGGGCTTTTTTTTGTATTGAGCTTAAGACTTACTTTTGATGTACCCAAGCTTTGACTTGGAAAGATGTAAGCCATTAAGGCATATGGTTAGCTGTTTAGCCTTCATTTCTTTTCACTATCTTGTAACACATGCTGTAGATTCAAGATGTACTGTTTAAGAATGTATATTGCACATATATCAAACTCTGATTAATGAAAGCTTATCATTTCATTTATATTGCTATTTATTAGTTGTTAAGAGATGTGTATATTGTGTTTATTTCGAGGTGTTACATTATATAAGGCTAATGGTGACTCAACAACATTCCATCTTCATTTCCTTGAGCAACAAAACGTGAGAGAGAGAGAGAGAGAGAGAGAGAGAGAGATTGAGTGAGAGGAGAGTGAATTTAAGCTTAAGAAGGAGAAAAAGGGGAAATTCTAGAGAATTGAGAGGAAAATTGAAGGAATTGAGGAATTTAGTTTCAACATTTGCTAATTCAAGGTTTAAGGTAGGAATTCAACCTTTCATTTATGAATTTGAGTCAAATAGATTCAAGTGATTAACCATGAGAATTAAGCTTAGATTATGGAAATTGAGGTCGTTCCATGCATGCATGCATAGTTCATAGACTTTGAGTTTAGTTCTCACTCAATTCTTACGTGCAAGTGTTTATTTTTGCCAAGTTAGGAGAGCTCACTATGATTCTACACTCAAACACTTCATCTGTGCATGGTTTAGAGATTTTGAATCCATATCATTACATGCATGTGAAGATACATAAAATTTCACTTTAATTATAAAGAATTGATTTGTGTTTGGGCCTTGATTTTATGAAATAACCTTCATTTCATGTTTCACTACAAGTTTCCAAGTGTTTTCTAAAAGTTTTTGACCCAAATGAACAAGATTGAAGCTTTGGAATCAAGTTTTGAACCTTTAAGAGCAATCTGGAAATCCCATAATTTAGTCGCATCGCTTGAGCGACCAAGCCGTTGCTCGAGAGAAAATTTCAACCTCTTAGTATTTTTGCAGAGATTGATTGTTGGCTCACGCGACCGAAATATTGCTCAAGAGACCACCCTTTGTTTTGAACCTTGGCTTGAGCGACCGTCGAGCGTGAAAATCGAGCATCTAGTACTTTCGTAGACTTTGCAGACCGCTCGAGTGACCAAAGCTGTGCTCGAGCGAACTATCTTATTTTTCAAAATTTGGCTAAGTGTTCCAAAGTGTATTTTTGCATCCTCATTGCATCTAAGGCATTCCTAGGCCATGATTAAGCTACAATAATGAGGATGAGAGATAGAAACATATCAAGAAAGAAGGAATGATAAGTTATGCACCTTTGGGACATGTGTTCAATGTGTATATATTACGTGTTTATGTAGATCACGTGTTATCGCCCGCCTAATCAGTTTGTTCTGTCCAAGCGATTTGTTCTACTATTGGAGCTATCTGTGAGTAACGACTCTATAAAGCTATGTTTGAATTTAAGTACTTTTTGAACAATGTGGTATGATCAGTTTTCTGAAATGCTATTTGTAAATCATGAATGACTGTCCAATTTTTTGAAATGTAATCGTGGCATCCTTAGCATCAAGTGTTCATGTAATATATATGACCTGGTACAAGGGTTTCAAGTGGGTACCATTTATGAAATTGGTTATGCATAATCATCTTTATCAAGTGAAAATGGATCATCTAAATGACCATCTCAAGTGAAATTGGGTCTTTGTGACCATCTCAAGTGAATGTGAGCCTTTATGACCAAGTGATCTGTAGCTAATGGATATGCCACGTATAACTGTTTATGAAATCTGTATAAGTATGTGAATCTGCATCTATTTCTGATATGAACTATGATTTCTAAATCTGTGATAGATATCATTCATAAAACCTTTACTCTGTTGTTATTCACTGGGCTCTAGTTAACTGTATTATTTATATATGTAGGTGATCATGTGTGAGATCTGGCCTAAGATGCCAGCCCGAAGTTCTGTTTTTCAAGCCAACCACCATGCCTTACGAGGAGGTTTCCAAGTGTTTCAATGTTCAAGTCAAGTGCACGTGATGCTATCTTTATCTTTTTGTTTCTTTATTGAACAAGACTTTTGTATACTCTGTAAATAGGGCTAAATCCCTTTTGTTTATCTGTACACGGGATAATGTGTGTATGACGTCATATATAAATGTGATTATAAGTCTAAATCTTCTGTCCCATGTATGTCTACACAGCTCTATGGACATTGTATTTTGATATTTGCTTCCGCTAGCCCATTATTTTGTTTATCTATTTCAGAGGCTTTCAGTAATCCTGGGATTACTGACCGGTTACGATACTAAACCTATAGAGGCTGGTTTAGGTCATGATAGAGTGGTATCAGAGCACTTGTTATACTACACACACGAGTCCATAGCAATATGATGTCCTAGAAAAGAATTAGGGACATTACATCTGCATGTGTGAGTGTGTGTGAAATCATATGTGCATGCGTAATGCAAAATAAAATGAATATGAACACTGTGAAAACTGTAAAGATTGTTCACCTATGTTTATTAGTGCCTTGTTTACCTATAGCAAATGGAGAGAACAAGAATTGATGATGCGACTGAATCCTTTGATGCCCGAATGGAAAGAATGTTAGAAACTTTGACTGAGTCCCTAAGACAACAACAGAGACAACAACTACCTTTTTCTGCCTTCTCCTATACAAATCGAGCTGATGAACAATAACATTATCGATTTGACTCAGAAATTTAACAAAATGAAGCCACCGACTTTTCTGGGTGGTATTGAGCCACTAAAAGCAAAAACCTGGATGCTAGAGATCGAAAAATTGTTTGAAGTCTTTCCATGTATTGAAACACAGAAAGTGCTACTAGCGCCCTACACTTTAAAGGAATAAACCTGACGTTGGTGGATGTTGATACGGAATGATAATGGAGCTATAACCTAGAATCTGTTTAAAGAGATCTTTTATGAAAAAATATTTCCCCTAATGCTTTCGGGATCGTAAAGTTTCTGAATTTGAATAGCTGAAGCAAGGAGGTATGTTAGTGACAGAGTGTGAGGCTAAGTTCACCGAGTTAGCCCGATT